TATTTAATTATAAATTAAGATTAATGTTAATCCCCAATCAGTCAATAAAAATATCCAAAATATGTAATTAAAAACAAAATAATTAAAATGGTACACTGGATGGCTAATATAAACATAGAGGCATGCATAATGGACAAATGAAGAAAGAAAAAAATACATGAATATAAAGAAATATTTAAAGCCAGAAAGATGCAATTCTACTTTATCAGTAAAATTATTGAATAAAAATGGGTAAATGCACCAATGAAAAGAGACAAACATTTAAAATGGGTAAAAACATGATGAACTACATACTTCTACAAGGCCCACACTTTAGTTGCAAAACACGGTTTCAAGTAAAAGTCAACAGTCACATCATCTAAACAATAAATGAAAGAGCCCAAGTGGATAAGTTAACACTATCAAAATATATTAAAGACAAAAAATCTTACTAAGACAACAAAGAATATTTTAGAAAAAAAAAAGAATCAATGTATCAAAGATACAAAATGATTAAAAGCATAATATATCATATACCTAACAGCAGTGCCTCAAAGAACATGAAACAAAAACTGACAGAATTTGACAGAAGTTAATAATTTAACGATAACCGTTGACAACTTCAATAATATAGTAATTCATTTCTATAAAGAATAGATAAAATAGAAAAATTGTGAGCAAGGAAATAAAAGATTTACAGCACTGTATGCCGACTAGACACAAAAGATAGCCTAAGACCACCCCACCAAACAAGAATAGAATATGCATTCTTTTCAAGTTCACATACAGCATTCTCTAGACTAGATCAAATGATAGGCAATATAACAAAGGTCCATAAAAGTAAAAGAACTACATTGGAATAAAAGTAGAAAACAATAAATGGAGAAGATTTGGTATTTGTGATTTAGTTTGTATAATTTATGTAATGTGTAAATTTGATCTACCATTTATGTAAATAAATGTAAATACATAACTATAAAATTTCAGGAATTTGGCGTTATACCTAGACATATGCACATTTGCACACGAACAGCCCCAGCCCCAGTGCCACAACCACATCAGTTCATGCCATCTACCCTTCTCCCTCCCTGCCCTCTCCCTCTGGTAACCACCATAGTTTTCATAGTCTAAGATTATTTCTGTGTCTTATGCCCATTTATTTTCTTGGTTTCTTTGCATTCCACAAATGAGCGAAACTATTCAGTAATTGTCTTTTTTTACTTATTTCCCTTAGCATAGTCACCTCAAGTTCCATTAACATGTCTCAAAAGACAATGATTCATCTTTTATAATAGCTGATTAGTTTTCAACTGTGCATATAAACCATAGTTTCTTTATCTAGTTATCTGTCAATGGATATTTAGGTTGAGTCCATGATTGGGTTATTGTGAGTAATGCCGCCATGAACATAGAAGTGCATAAATATTTTCATATTAGTGTTTATATATTCTCTGGAAAAATTCATAGAAGTGGTATTTCTGGATCTTATGGTATTTATTTTTATTTTAAGGAACCTTAAGACATGCATTTTTCATAGAGGATGTAATATTTCACATGCCCAGGAGGATTGAGGGAGTGTTCCTCTTTCTCTACAACCTTGCTGACTCTTTGTTCCAGTCTTTTGAATAGAATTCATTTGCACAGGTGTGAAGTGATACCACACTGTGGTTCAGATTTTCATTTCCCTAAATGAGTAATGAGCATTTTTTTCATATGGCATGGACCACATGTGTTATTTGGAGAAACAATTTTTTGCTCTTTTATCCATTTTTAACTGTTGTTTAAAGTTGTTCAGTTGGATGAAATCTTTATATATTTGGGAATTAACTTGTTTTTGGATATGTGCTGTGCAAATATTTTCTAACAGTCACTAGTTGTTCTGTGAATATTTCTTTATCTGTGCAAAGGTTTTTCAGTTTGTATCTTTAAAGATGTATTTATTTATGCATACAAGAACTGGGGTACAGGCCAGAGGTGTGGGAGGTGACAGGATTCACCAGAGACAGAGCGGGGAACAGAACAGGCAGACTGACGTAACACACTGTTGAGGGAAGCAGTGCGTGCAGCAGGAGAGGTCTGCTGTGCCATGTGGGTAGCTCCCTGGCTGGCAGGAATCAAACTCCTGCTGCAGAGGCTACGGCCAGCTTCATAGTGCTGTGCTTAACCCCTTGTGCCAGAATTAATCCACTTGTTTATTTTTGTTTTTGTTTCTGTGCCATTAGAGTGAGTCCCTGAATGCATCTCTGAGGTTGAGATCCGTGAGCACATTGCCTCTTTTCTTTTATGTATTTTATGCCTTAAGGTCATGCTCATCACTTGGGAAACTGCGAGGGTTTTGGAAGATCTGTGCTACAAATGGTATACAGAACAAATATATGCTAACTTATGCCATGGAATGTTATCTAGCAAGGAAAAGGAATGAAGTACTGATCCATACATTGTACAGCATGCAGGAACCTTGAAAATAGAATAAGTGAAAGCAGCCAGTCACAAATAATACCTATTGTGTGACTGCATTTACATGAATTGTCTGTAGTAGACAAAAAACTCCACAAATACAGAAAACAGATGTGTGATTTTTCATGTACTATAGAGGGAGGGACACAGGGAGGATTTGTTATTGGGTTAAGTTTCATTACCTCAGAAGTTCATGAATATGTCCTAACATTAAGTTGTGGTGACAGTTCTACAACTATGAGTTCCTAAAACCCACTGAATTGTACACTTTAAAAAGGGGAATTTTTGGTCTATGAATATAGTTGCTATTTAAATTAGATGAAGAGGGCCTCCCTGGTGGCATAGGCAGTTGAGTGCTGCATTGTGAATTTGTCCGCAGCCACTGCAGTGCGGGTTCCATCCTGGCTGGCTGGCAAAGGTCCCACATGACTCTGCAGACCTCTCCTGTCTCCCCACTGCTCCCCTCAGCAGTGTATTTTGTCAGTCTTCCTGTTCTGTTCCCCACTCTGTCTCTGGTGAATCCTCTCAGCCTCCTGTGCATCTCGCCTGTATCCCAGCTCTTGTATAAATGAAAAAAAAAATCTTAAAAAAATGGAAAATAAATGAAGAGATTGCTTACTTGGGCATTTAAATTCAATTTTAAAAACCCTGTAATGGGGCCTCCCTGGTGGCACAAGGGGTTAGATGCAACCTATGAAGCTGTCTACATGTCGTGGCAGACCTCTCCTGTCTCAGTCTGAGCTGTTCCCCTCAGTGATGTATTTCAGTCAATCCACCTGTTCTATTTCGAAAGGAGAGGTCTGTGCTATGTGGGAACCTTGTTGGTGGCTGGGGATGGAACCAGTGCTGGAGAGAATGCGGGCAGCTTCACAGCGCTCAACCACTGCGCCACCAGGGGAGACCCTGCTTAGGTATTTCATTTGGGGTAGTATTTTTATAATAGATAATGTTTCTTTAATTTTATATCCCAGTTGTTTGTGTTGCTTATGGGGAAACTAATAAACTTTCGTATATTGACCACATACCCTGCAACCTTCCTGTAATTGCTAATTATTTCTGAGATTTTTTAAGATTTCTAGTGGTTTTCATATAATATGTATTCCCTTTATAGCTTTTCTTTTCTTTTACTTATCATATTAGTTAGGACAGCCACACAGTTCTGAATTGGTGTAGTGGCAGAGGACAAAATGGCCTTTTTCTCCATCTGAAGAGGAAATCTATTTGGTGGCTCATCTTTAACTGTAATGTTAGTTACATGTTTTCTTTTATACATTTAATTAGTTTAAGGAGAAAAGCCCCTTAAATTCTGGGTTTTTGAATTTACTTTTTTTAATTTTGAATATGTGTTGAAATATATTGAGTGTTTTTATGTCTGTTGATACAGTAATATATTTTTTCATATGCACTCTTAATGTAAACTGTTATATTACTTGATATGTAAGTGTTGAACTGGTCTTGTATTACAGGAATGAACCACACTTAGCCATGATGTATATAATTTTTCAATAATTTTAATACAAGTCACTGGATGTGATTTTTTTTAACATCTCTAGTTTTTCAGTGTTATTATCTTTTTATTATATTTAGTTGTTTTGGTTTACAAAGTAATTATGGTCTCAAAAATGAATTGTGTTACGCAGGAGGCGCAATACGGAGGCAGAGTGAAGACACAGGGCTCACCGCCGCCATAAACTCACAACACTGTGCAGGACAACATCGATGCCCCTGAAAGAGAAATGGGTGACCAGGGCACACACCAGGAGCAGGGACCAATGGCAAGAAACTGGGAAAACGTTAACTGACCTGCATCTACAGTTATACTGGAGCAGAATTAAACCCCCTACAGATGTGGACTCGGGGACACTAGCCACATTGGGGACTTTGGAGATTCAGCACTTCCCTCAGCGCTGGGCTCAACCCACTGGGCCCTCCGGGAGGCCCTATTTTTGAAGATACCGTACCAATTCTCTACAGCTGTGAGTGTTTTTCTGATGGTAGAAGGTACATAAATACTTCATACCTATAGATGCACACACAAGCCACACTCATGTAGACTCATATGCACACACTTGCACACAGTGCAAGACATGCACATACACCTAAAGGAAAGAGTGCAAATACCTAATTCCATACTCACAGCTAGCTCTGCTTCACACTCCTGTCTCGCTGTCTTATTACCATGTGACCCCTCTCACTTTTCTAAAATTTTCTAAATGCTTTCCAAAATTTTCTAAATTTTCTAAACTTTTCACTGCTGATACAAGAATGTTAAAGGAAATTTAGGTCTCTGGTGTCCGATGTGTTGGAAGTGTGGGTGCAGTCATAAACGGGAAGCAAACGTGGTCAGTTTCATACACCATTTTAATGTGTCCTGGGGTACACATTTTAACTAAACAATCCATTTCAGACTGTCTCCTCCAGGCAGAGAAAGAACATCCAGATGCCTCCATGCCCCAGGGCCCCGCAGGCAGAGCAGGTCACCTGGAGGTGTCCCTGCAGTGGGAACCAGTGTGCCCACGGCGGCCGCCTCCTCGTGCCCTTTGGAACCTGCGTGGGAAGAGCAGAGCCAGTGAAGCCCAAGCACGGAGGAGGCTCTTTCCATAGTGACACCCCCCGGGAAGTGCTGCATGGACAGAGATGCGACAAAACGCAGATGGAAACCAGGAGGCCCTATCGAGGCGCCACTCACTGGTGGGTAAGCAATTCTCAAAGTTGGAATCTCCGTTGTGAAAAGGGGCTCAGTAGAGAGGGACTTCCTACCGTGTATGTCAGTCCCTGACAGCGCCAGTCAGCCCGAAGAGCTCCTGCCTCGTCTGCGCCGTCTGGGTGCCCAAGGGCCACCAGCAGGGCCCTCACAGGATAGAGCCTAAGATGGGGAAGCAAGGCCATGGGGTCCCAGCCTATGGCCCTGGGGCCTCTGGGGGCTCAGCCCGCACAGCTCCACTCCCATCCCGGGCCCTGCACCTGCTCAGCTGCCCTAAGCCCTCCTCTCCCCCCTTCCTCTGCTCTGTTCCCCTCAGGTGCTTCACCAGACCCGTTGTCCTCCCTGCCCTTCATCTGCTCTGCTCCTGGGACTGCTGTGCTTGCGGACATCTGTGCTCCACGCCTGTGTTCTCATGCTGCTCCTGGCCCCTCTGGCTGGGCCCAGCCCCTGACCCCTCTCCAGGTCTTGGCCTCCGCTGGTGTGCTCCTCTCACTATGGCCACTGAGTGACTGCCCTGGAGCGGGGAAGTGAATTCTAGGGAGGTGCTGGTGACCATCTAATCCCCAACAGGGTGAACTCTGCTCTTGTGTTTTCTTCTGAAGGGTGGACAGAAAATGCAACATTTTAAAATCCTATTAAGGATTCAATGAGCTCTGGCCTTGTAGCCTCCGCCTGGACTGAAGGGTGGATTGGGAATGGTGTTCATAGCCCAGTGTCTCTGCAGGGAGTGGGCTGAACAGGGGCTCCTCCTTGGGGTTATTTGGGTGGTGCTAGAGAGCTGGGGGACTGGGCTGGAGGTCTTCCTAATGCTTTCCTGGCCCCCCTCCAGCTGGGGGCCTAGCAAGGTGGTGCTGGGCTGCAGGGCTTCCTCCTGTAGGGGGCCTGGCAGTGATGTGGTGTTGAGCCCCCAGGCCTCCCGCAGCACAGGCCCTGACCTGGAGGCCATGCTGGGCTTCCAGGCGTCTGGCAGCAGGGGCCCTGAGCCGGAGACAGAACTCTGCAGGCTGGCATCCTTCTGCGGGATGCCTGGCCCAGAGGTGGTGGTGGGGTCTGGGTGTCCTGCTTCGGGGACAGTCCCACCCACAAGATTTCCCACCCCGAGACCTCAGGCTGCCGGTGGTCCTCTGGTATCGGGGCACAGTGGGCCCCATTGGGACTGAGGAGCTTGGGGAAGATGGTAGGGTCCGGCCCCTCCTCGCCCACCCACTGCCTGGAAAGCAGCATGAGGTAGGACCACATCACAGGGTCATACCTGCCCTCCAAAAGCGCCCTGTCGATGACCTCCTTCCGGAACCCCAGGTGGACCATGGCTTCCATCACGGCCTTGTGCTGGCCCGGGGTCGGCTCGGGGCAGGGCGGGAGTCTGTTGGGCAGCCCCACCCAGGGGTGCTGGATGATGCTGTCCAGGGTGCTGCGGCTCTGGGGGTTGAGCATCATCATCTTCCTTAGCAGATCACGGGCACTGCTGGGAGAGGTAGTACAGCTCGTTGTAGACGCCGCTCAGCACCCTGGCCCGCAGCTCCCCGAGGCTGTTGCCCTTGAAGGGCAGCTCCCCGGTGACCATGTCGTAGAGGACCACCCCCGGACTCCAGATGTATGCCGCGGGGCCACTGTACTCCTGGTGATGGAGGATCTCGTGCACCACAAACTGCGGGCTGCCTCAGGGGGTCTTGAGCAGCGCTGTCCCAGAGAACTGGGCACTGAGCCGAAGTCTGCCAGCTTTATGTTTCGGTGCCGGTCCAGGAGCAGGTTCTCTGGCTTCAGGTCCCGGTGCACCACGCCCCGGGCATAGCAGTGGCTGAGCATGGTGAGGATCTGCTGGAAGATGCGGCGCGCCTCCATCTCCCCCAGGTGCCCACACCTGCACAGGTAGTCCTGCAGGTCGCCCCCCTGAGTGCGCTCCAGGACCAGCAGCACCTCATCCTCGGTGTCCACCACCTGGAAGAGCTGGAGAATGTTCGGGTGCCAAAGGACTTTCATGCAGGCCACCTCGCGGACCAGGAACCTCTGAGGCGTGCCGGACTTGGGGATGACCTTTATGGCCACCTCCGTGCCCGTCGGCAGGTGCAGCGCCAGCTTGACCTTGCCGTAGCCGCCCTCCCGCAGCTTGCCGAGCATCACATACTGTCTCAGGGCCATTCCCTGGGCAGACAGGCACACCGAGGCAGTGAGGGCGGACCCGCTCCTACACTTGCAGGCCCTGGCTGTTTAGAGCCCTCAGCACTAGCTCCGCTACCCGATTAACAAGTTCACTACTAGCCTAGAGCTAGTAGAACGTGAAAAGGATCCCCGAAACTAACTAAATGCTCCCCGCGCTGACTCCTCTACCAAAACACTAAGGACGCTAACTTACCTCTACCAGAAATACTAACTATGCTAACCTTACTAGGATACTATTACTAACTAACTACGCTCTCAAAAATAAAAACACACAACCTAAAAATTAACAGATACATATTTAAAAATACAAAAAGACAATAACAAACTAACAACTCAAGTTAACAAGAACACAGACAAACAAACCACAAGTGAACAATTACAAACTAACAAGTAAAAAAAAAAAAAAAACAGACAACAAAGGGGAAATAACAACACATGCAAAAATAACAACACAAGGGAAAATGGGGGCAATAAAAAAATTAAAAAAAATAAAAACAAAAAAAAAGGAAAAAACAAGCAAATAATAAAACAATAAAGGAAAATGAAAAAACAATTAAAAATAAATAAAATAACCAAAATAGCTAAAATAACTGAATAAGAAATAAACAAAGCAAAAGCAATCCAACCCACCAACATGCTTCTCTCTCCCTTCGAGTCCACCGTCACGATCCCAACACTCCTCGCTCTACCTACACCGCCGCGGTCCACGCGGGGGCTTAAGTAGGCTCGGTGGGTGACGTCACAGAGCTCTTTGTGGCGTCAGAGCAGAGGCCACGCCCCCGGCAGAGGGCACCCCGGGGGCCATTCAGCCTTCACGGCACAGCAACCTCCAAGAGGTGTGTGGACAGACTCCCTGGAGACTGGAGTCCACCCCGATCCAGAAGCCCGCGGGGCACTGGCGAGGCCGTGTCCTCTGTCGCGAGCACCTGTCCCAGGTTTCGGCTTTTAGGGTCTCTCCACACAGTCCCCCTCAAACCCTGATGCGTCTCACATGACGCGACACATCCATGGGCACAATAAAACAACATGTTTGGAGCATGAGACGCGACAGTCCGCTCTTCACACCCAGACATTGAAAACTCTCTGGGACATGGTTCCCCGTTTGGCCCACAAGCTGCGTGTGCCCCTCGGCGTCCTCGTAGGCCGGAGGCCGGGTCGGCTCCCAGGGCGGCAGAAACTGTAACGCGGGCCCTGCAGGTGGTGTCCGCCCCAGCCCCCCGCAGTGCTGTGGGGACACCCCCTGACCTGACTCAGACGGGGCTGGGGGCAGCTGGGGCTGGTCAGCTCCCCCCGAGATTTCTGGCTTGGAAATATCTGCGTCTGGGGCTCCCGTTGGCGCAGCGGGTTGAGTGCAGCTCTGTGGAGCTGTCCGCACCTCTGCAGCAACGGTTCGATTCCCGGCCCGCAAGGCAGGTGAGCAGACCTCCCCTTTCCTGCCCGCTGCGCCCCTCAGCAGTGTATTTCATCAGTCTGCCTGTTCTGCTCCCCGCTCTGTCTCTGGTGAATCCTCTCACCCTCACAACTCTGGCCTGTACCCCGGTTCCTGTATAAATATATGTTTTAAAAAAAAAGACTATTTAAAATAAATCTGCTTCATGCTAGAACTCGGGGTCGGGGAGCAGAGGTTGGCAAAGGCCAGGTCCAGACGCTGTGGCCCTGCGCCCCTCGGGGTACGGCCTGGCTCCTGGAAGTGGTGGGTTCGCGTGAGCAGTGGGGTCCGCTGCTGCTCAGGCTGCAGGTTCCCCCCGCCAGGCCAACCCTGATCACTCACGCACAGCATCCGCTGAGGACCAGGTCTCCCCTGAGCAGCCTGGGGCGCGGCCAGAGCCCAGAGGCTCAGAGCCTGGGCTCGGGGCTCGGGGTTCGGGCCCGGTGGCCCCAGCACCACGTGTCCCAGGCCCGGAGGGTGGAGGGTGTCCAATCCTCTCGGGGGACAGGACGCCCAGAGCAGGTTATCTTGGTTCCGCCCCCCGGGGACCTGACCCAGGAGAGGCCGTGCTGCTCCTCCTGCGACCACCGCTGCTCCCGGCTGCCACGCAGAGAGGTCGGAGCCTCTCCGGTGTCTGGGGTGGACTTGCGGGCCCGTTCCCGTCTTTCTCCCCAACCTCCACGGCCACCTCGGGGGAGTCCGCGATCTTTGGCCGCCTGTGTCCATGCCCGCCTCAGCCTCAGGGGCTGCAAACCCCACGGAGGCTCCGCATCCCTCTCGCCTCTGAGAACCCACGATGCCCCCACCAGCCTGGGATGCTGCGCGTCACGGGCCAGGGCTGCGGCCCCGCACTGGTTCCTCCCCTTCCTTCAACCTCCCCCACACCCAGGGAAGAGCGAGAGCATCAATCAGATCATCGCTCGCTGGCCTCACGCCTTCCCGTGGCCCTGCTGGGCTTGACACTACCCCAAAACCCCTTTGCACAGGCTTCCCTGCCCCGCTGGCCTCAGCCCTGCCCCCGCCCACCTCCCCTCCCTGTCCAGCCCTGCTGGGTGAGCTGCCCTTCTTTTTTGTCTTTAATTTTATGTATTTTTACATCATTTTTCATTTTTGCCAATGTATGCATTTTCACCTTGGTTATAGTCCCCGTACAATTCCCAACCCCCTTGTTTGATCCTACTCCCTCCTGCCCTGCACGGTAGTGTGTCTCTGGCTTGTAGTTGCTGTTGATTGTGATTTTTACTTTATTATAATTAATATTTTCCTGGTCCCTTATCTAGGTTTTCTAAATTCCTGCTATGAGTAGGACCATCTGGTGTTTTTCTTTTTCTTTCTGGCTTATTTTGCCCAAGCATGACCCCTTCCAGCTCCATCCATGTTGCTGCAAATTGCA